CTTCCTTAGGAAACACACTGTGTACTACGGTGGCTTCCATGGCAGTCACAGGGTCATTATCTGGCTCTGGGATATCCTAGCCCACGATTTCAGCCCTGAGGAGAGAGCAATGTTTCTAAAGGTAAATGTCTCCCAACTCCGTTCCTGATAGAGTTGCCGTGGGGGTATGTTGCTCATCTTTCCATTATCTAGGTCAGAGGGCGACAAATCTGTGGGCCACATCTGGCCTGCCGGACCTTTCTGTCCAGGCCACCAACTTCCACCTGTAGAGGCTAGCCCCTGGTCCCTCCCTGTTTGTCTCACTTCTCCTCGCAGCTTGTGCTCCTTATTCCCCATTCTGGGGCTCGCTATGCCTGGGTGGTAGGCTCGCCATACCACCATCCCCGATGATCTGGATTGCATGGCTTGTAGCACGGCCAGTCCTGGTGCTCCAGGCAGCATGGTCAGGGGTGAGGGAACTGGAGGGTTCCACGGGGATGGTTGTGGGGTGGGAGGGGAGAGATGAGGTGTGGGATCTGGGGCAGGCGGAGAGCAGCGTGTCAGATAGGGGGTAAGGATTGGGCTATGTCTGACTGTTTTATATTGCAGAGAATATCCCTGCTTACATATCATCACTTTTCTTAGAGAAGAAATGAGTTATGAAGAGCCACTGTAATCTGCTGTGGGGAATGAATGCCGCAGACAGCAGCTCCCAGAGTAGCTTACCTTCAGTTTATCATTAGAACAGTCAGCAGAATGGTGCCAGGCAATGAGCAAACCATTTCTTTAGAAGAAAGCTGTCTGGTATTAGTTCCAAGCCCTATTGCTTTAACAATCCATGATTGCCAGTCTTTAACCACGTTTGTTTTAGTTTGTTACTAGTTGTTCCCGGCCTCCACTTCTGGGCTTTGCCTACCTCAAGCCTCCTTTCTCCATCCGCTGTGTAGAAGTCTCAGACGATCAGGTTTGTGACCAGGGATTCTCAGCATTTATGCATTGGAGATCCCCTCCTCGGGCCTTTTACAGAGCTGCTCCGTACCCTGCCCTGCTTCTACCCCTTTCCTGTAGCAACTAGCAGGCTCCTGTGCACAGAGAATGTCCTTCAGATAGTGTTAAGGAGACAAGGTGAAATACTCACCTTAATGTGATGCACTTCCTCCCACACCCTTTCGTGCCCATGCTTTTATTGCCTACCTGCAAGTTAATAACTCCCCTTGTGGTTTGCACTGCCTCTCGATTGTTTTACTTTGGGTCTTGCTATCATTGGATTTTGCAGAGCCAATTACAGTTGAATTATCCCCAAGGAGAAGTGACCCTTTAATGCTAAAGGGGGCCAGGAGACTTTTGCTTCTGCCACAGTCTTATTGTGTATTAATCTCCCTGCCTTGGTGTCCCCCCTTATTAACAAGGATCATGCCTTCCTCCTTAATGCTGTGGCTTGCTGCACAGTGCTCTGCTGGAGTGTGCTAGAGAAGTGCAAGGTGACACGATACACTGGGCAGCGTGCTAAGGGGCTTTTTCACCATCCGCAAGAAGGAGCCAGGCGGTCGGCTCCCCACCTCTTCTACTTGTTTTAACCTGCTCAAGCTTCCCAACTACAGCAAGAAGAGCATCCTGCGAGAGAAGCTGCGCTATGCCATCAGCATGAACACAGGCTTTGAGCTCTCGTAGCTGCCTTCGCACATGGGAGTTGCGAGCTATCTCTGGAGAGACAGCCCTTCGTGCAAAGAGAGTGGGTCAGCTCCAAGGGAAATATGCAAACGGGACTAGAGGTTCACAGGGAGTGTGCCGATGCTAAAGAGCCGTGGATTTGCCTATGCTTTCCGGCAGCACTAGGAAAAGTGCTGGGTCTAACCCTGGTGCCATGTAATCTGTCATTTAAAATCAAACCTAGGGAGAGCACTAAGATAGCACTGAATACCCCAGCATGGATCCAGCAGCCAGTGTGCCCTGAGCCCTGGTGAAGAGTCCAAGTTAGTTGCTGTCATGTTGAGGGTTTTATTTTCCTTTCCTAAGAAATGGCCCAGGTTTTTCATTGGAGGGAAGTCATTGTCCGCAAGGTGTTGATGGAAATGTTACTGAAAAATTAGGAGGCTCTGCTGCATTGACTGTAAGTTTCATTAGCCCATTCACTGTGGTAAAAGCTTTGCAAGGGTGACTGTGCATCAGGCAAGGCTGCTATGTTCATCTTCAGTGACAACAAACTGCTTGTCCAAGTTTAGAAGCAACAGCCAACAATGGCAGAACAATAAGCCCTCCAATCTCAAACACAATTTCCAAGTGCTGTAGAATTGGAGCTTGCAAAACAGACACGGAGTCTGAAAGGCAGAGACAATCGCACCTCGTTGGTTCCTAGCCAGTTCTGTGTGTTGGAGGAGAGGGACCACTTTTTGCTTTTAAGCAAATTAGAACAAGGTTTTAACTTAATTTTACTTTCATCTTACAAGTGACCAGGAAGTACATTTACACTTGTATAGTGTTCAGCTGTGTCAGTGTCAGTAAATGCATCTTCCATGTTCAACATTAATGCTTGGAATGCATCAAGCCGCCAACTGCCCAAGGTAAAACGCCTCTGCTAGGAAGTTTGTAAAATTCATATTTAAGGTATCTTCGCTCTTTCCCCTATGGAGGTCTCTGCTTTAGGCCATTAGTAGCCCAGACTTGGCCTCTCCATAACCCAATGATGTTTGTTTGCCAAACTATTTATTTTTAATATTTTAGGCCTTATTTTTATTAGCTTATGCTCACCTGCTGCATCCATCTTTTTTGCTGGTGGTTCTTTTTGGGGGATGAAAGGTTTGTATGTGCGTGTGAGAGAGAGGGAGAGTCACACATGCTGGCCATTTTCACTGCTCTTAAGGATGAAATACAGAGATTGTCCTGTCAAACCTCTTTACGCAGCTGGCCTGCTGCTTTGCACCTCCGACATTTTACAGCCAGAATGAGTCCTGCTTCCATCCAGCAATCCTCCATGTAATTCTCTCTCAGGTGTCCCCTTGTGCTGCATGGATTTCTGGGAAGCACAATGCGTATTAATGTCAGGCACATAATTAGTTTTATTTAATTTCTTCGCTCTGCCTGCTGCAACCTGCCTAATAAAGAGAGCTCGTGCTGAGGCTGCCAGCTCTCCCGCCCCCTTCTTTTCTCCTCTTGGCATTCAAGGGATGTATATGTGAGTGTGTGTGATTTTTAACTAGCCCTATTCTCCACCCCACCCTAAGTGGATCTGAAAAAAGCATTGCTGTGCGAGTCACCCAGCAGCAGATGCTACAATGCAAAAGCTACCTCATCTTCAGGATCTTTTCAGTAGGTATGAATGGCAGGGAATCCAAACCCAAACATGTTTTGCATAGCACAAGTCTTGGCACCAGAACTGGTCCCTAGGGAATTGGGCAGGCCCCCGGAAGAGACAGGAAGTAGAAAGCTGACCAGAAAATGCTCCCAGCCAGAACCACTAAAACGAGCATCCGAACGCCCTGTCTTGTTTTCTGTTCTGTCATTTTAATTGATGATGGATTTCAAGGAAATATGCCTTTTCTCCTGGACACCTAATGCTGGAAAATGCATCTCAAATCCTCCCATGTTAGGGACCTTTTGCTGTGTGAACTCTATGCCGTAGGAATGAACTGATCTGTTAGTGAAAGAACAAATGTCTACTAAGTTGAGTGAATGTGGAGAATTTAGAGAGAAGAGTAAGCACTGTTTTTGATTTTGCGTAAGTGAACATTTAACACTTGTTAACCATTTCATGATCTAATAGACTGAAAGCACCTGACACTGACCTGTAACAGTTTACTGTAGTTTAAGATATGACAAAATATCTTTTTTCTTAGATAAACACAGTGTCCTGTTAGATCACAAGCCTGAAATTGTTTATTAACAAATCTCTGCTCCCCTTTAAGTTTCCTTTAATGGTTTGGAAATATTGCACTATATGAGACACTAAATCTATAATTTTGTAGCTAGTGCATCAACTGTGATTGTGTAATTAACTACACACACCCTGATGGCTATATGGACAAGACTATTTCTCCTAAGTAACTAATTTCTCTATGACTTTGAGAGGCTTTGTTACATTTGTATTACATTGAGCAGAAGGCTATAAACCTGTGACAAGCTCTGCCCCGGGTGTCTGTACTTTGCATGTATGTTCTGGGTGGGGAGGGAAAAGTTTTTTGCTATAGATTAATGAATTTATTTTTTCTATAGATAAGACTTGATAGTCCTGAGATTCGGGCATATCCTATGTGTCAAAAATTCAGAAAAATATTAAATAAACGTGACGGGTTGAATAAGATCATTGGGGACTTTTCTTTCTTTGAGGGGCAGGCCTCTCTTGTGGCAGAGCAGTGCTCCGGCAGATATCTTTCTCTGCCTGAGCAAAGGCAGATGTTTTATAAATAAGGAGGTTGTAGGGGCAAGAGAAAGAAACACAGGGTCAAGGCACTCACTCCATTTTTCAGCCTGGGTCAGAGGCAGATGAATGCCGAAGGTCAGACAGGGAGTCTGTGGTCAGTGGGGCTGTTAGAAATGAATGGAACCAGACTGTTTTTAGAGGGCTCTGAGGTATAGACTAGTGATCGTGCTGAGGTGCTTACAGACTTCAAGGGGCTTCATGGTGCAGAGAGCAGCAGGGAATACTTGAAAGGTACCATTTGCTTTCTCACTGCCTCATTCCTCTTGCCTGGCTCTGAAAAGCCCTGATCTGAGAGAGACAGAGAACAGCTGCACCTCATTTCATAGGATGCCTGTACATATAGTTGCAGTTTGATGAATACTTTTTGCCCCACTAGGTGGCAGTGTATGTAAGCTACATAGCTTTTCATTTATAGGCCTTACCAAAAGTCATGAAGAGCTGTTCTGGGCTCCTTTTCCTTTGTTCTTTGTTGCTTGTTCTGTGCTGGGATGACACAGTATAACTCTCTTGGCTGTTGCTAACAGCATTGTAGGCAGTCCCCATGTGCCAGGTGATCTTAGCAGTGAGAATAGTTGATCCATTTGGGGGAAGAGGCAGGGCAGAAATGTGATAGAGGCCTGACTCTGTGTGCAAGTGGTATTGTTTGGGCATTATGGCATATGGCATAGAAAGAAATAGCAAAAAGGACACCCACAGCAGATGCTCCAGTAGCTTCAGTGGCAGAGAGATGGCAAGAAACAGCCATGTCTTTGAGCAAAACTATTTCTTGACAGTCATTTTTGCATAGGCCAGAGCACCAGCACCAACAGATGTTGCATTTTATGCCTCCTTGGCCACAGCAATGCATGTTGATGGTGGTGCACCTTATTTGACTGACTTACCCTTGGTTCATGCTCTGATTCTCATCATCCCAATAGCTGGGCACCTCAAAAACAATGAGGCAGGGAAGCCTAGGCACAGGGAGGCAGTGACTTGCCTATGGTTGCAAAATGAGTGGTGGCAGGGCCTGGAACTGACCCCATGGCTCCTGCCTTCCAACTTAACAGCTGCTACACAACAATCCTTCTTCTCTTAAAAGATCCCCAACCATTTATAAACTCATGACCTTCCACTGAAACTGTAGGTGGCTAACACGGCCCCGCAGCATGTCAGAACAGGTTAGTGCAGGCAATGAAGATGATGTAACTAATTGAAACTTCCAGAGGGACAGCTGTTAATGGAACGAATATCCACTTTGTTGGCCCAAATTGAGGGATTAATGCCTGAACTGTTACAAATAAAACCATAGGATTTGGAATGACCACAAATGGGGGAGAACAAATCAGCAGCATACCTGGTAACTTTAGTGAAGCTAAACAAATTCAGACTGAAAATGAGGCGAACTAAGCACTGGAACAGTTTACCAAGAGCTGTGGTGGAGTCTGCATCACTGGATATTTTAAAATGAAGACAGGCTGATTTTCTCAGACAATACAATCTAGTTCTGTGTTTCTCACAGTGGTCCTCAAAACCACTCGAGAAACCTGTTAACTGGCAGCTCCAGTGTGTGTGTTTACCGGTGCCACAGCCATAGGATGCAGCAGCTCCGCTCACTCTTCTTCCTGCGTCTCCCCTTGGCTACAAAACAGAACCAATAGGAGCGGCAAGGCTCCGTGGCCAGGGAGGCAGGAAGTAAACACACTGGAGTAGCCAGTTAACAGGTTTCTCAAAGTGGTATGTGGACCACTTTGAGAAATGCTGCTCTAGTTTGACCACAGCTATTGGCCTTCAAGCAGGACTCCACTTTCCTAAGTTACGTAGGCAGTTGGCCTTAATCACAGTCATGCTTTCTGGGCTTAAGCTGTAAAATGGCTTTGTAAAACGTTCCCTTTAACTCAGAAGGGTAAAACCTGCACGTCCCTGCCCAAACTCACCCAAGATGAAATGTGCACCTCTTCCATTGCCCATGAAGGGTTAATCAATCAGCCACGTGCTGTACAAGCAGGGTCATGTGGGGATGAAGGAGACTCCAGGATTGTGACTTCTATTGACCCATTCCTGTTAGTCCCAACATTTTCTTGGCGGGACAGGAAGGAAGGTGGCTTGGACATGAGGCAGTGTCCATGGCCCCTCTCCCATGTGCCTTAACTACCTTTTCTTTCCTCTTGTGCTTTCTGCTCCCTCCCTTTTGCTTTCCCTAGTCCCTGGCAGGGTAGTGCTGCTTGCATGGGAGAGCACTCATTGCTGGAATGTGCTCTCGGAGCTGAGCTCTGCTGGGGAAGCAGATGTAGGAGGCGTGGCCCCATTGTGCTTCAATGTGTCACCTTTTATGAGTAAATTATCTGTCTAATAAAGTCAAAACAAAGTGCTTGCCTGGTCTAAAGGAAATGTTTCACTAGGATTTTGTCAACAAGACAGATGAGCTATACATGCCTGTGAAATATTTCTGTTTTATGGAATCTGCATGTTCCAATAGAAAAACTGCAGTGGGAACATTTTCAACCTGCTGTGGTTCCGATTGTTGCACTAGGCAGCTCCTGCCATGGGGCAGGGAAGGAAAGTTAGTGGCAAAGAGCTACCCAGATAAGTATCTCTGCAGCAGGGAGTGAAGGTGGATACAGCTTCTTCCTCTCCACGCATTATGGCTACGTCTGCATTGGCACCCTTTTCTGGAAATGCTTAAAACGGAACAGTTTTCCATTATAAGTATTTCTGGTAAAAGCACGTCTACGTTGGCAGGATACTTTTCCGGAAAAGCACTTTTTCCGGAAAAGCGTCCGTGCCAATGTAGACGTGCTTTTCCGCAAAAAAGCCCTAATCGTCATTTTCGCTATGGGGGCTTTTTTGCGGAAAAGAAATCTGTGCTGTCTACACTGGCCCTTTTCCGGAACAGTTTTCCGGAAAAGGACTTTTGCCCGAACGGGAGCAGCATATTTTTTCCGGAAAAGCACTGATGATTACATTTGATCGTCAGTGCTTTTCCGGAAATTCAAGGGGCCAGTGTAGACAGCTGGCAAGTTATTTTGGAAAAGCAGCTGATTTTCCGGAATAAGTGGCCAGTGTAGACACAGCCTACTTGTCTGTTCTTTCCTGAGCCTCCCATGGACTAGTCTGATGCTCCTGCTTAGCCCATAGATCAAAAATCCCCATGCCATTTTGCTTTGCTTATTTCTTCTGCATGGTGGAGGGTCTCACGGGATAGATTTACTGTGCTGCCTTTCACCTTCAGTGTATTTTCCTTGCTGCCTATAGCGTGTAGGCTGTGGCACTAAGGGTGCGTCTACATAGCAGCAGTATTTCGGAATAACAGCAGTTATTCTGAAATAATGTGTCTACACAACAATTCTGTTATTTTGAAATATATTTGAAGTAACAGTTGGCTTATTCCGACTTCTGTAAACCTCATTCGACAAGAAATAACGCCTCTTCCAGAATAGCTATTTCAAAATAGCTGTAGTGTGTATGCTTGACTTAGAAATAGGTCCTCCCCAGGGCCGTTCAAACTAATTACTCCCCAGTGATTCCTGGTGCTCAAAATTAAGGTAGCGCATCTACATTAGGGAAGCCTGCCTCAGACTAATTTTGAGGCTTCCCTGTAGTGTAGACATGATATTTCGAAATAAGCTATACCAGAAGAAATACTCCGAAATAGCTTGTTTCAAATAAGCGCAAGTGTAGACATATCCTAAATGACAACCAAACATGCACTCAGAATATGAAGTTGGTTAGGAAGCATTTAAGGTGGCTATAGAGCTTGATTATTCTGTCCTTTGTGTCTCTCAGCTTCACCATTGCTCTTTGCCAACAGCTCCTTCTGCATGGGAGAGTTGAAACCTAGCCACATAATCCCCTGCAGCTTAATTTTAGCTTCGCTCACTTGGTCCAGGAATGTAATTATAACTTTTGAATTACATTAGTGACTTGCACAGAGTAATTAATTAGTTAGGTTTATAAGGTGCTAGGTTCATAGTGATATATGGCTCTGCTTGGTAAGAAGCACCTCAAATTAGCTATAAAAAAATCTTATTTCTAAGGTTAAGTTTTTACAGCAGGGGATTTATTAAAGCAATAAGCCTTTGTACTTATAAGCTATTTGTACTTAGGTTAGCTCAACTGTCATTGACTTACTGCTCACATTCAGCTATTGCCTATGGCAGCTGCCAGATGCCTGTTACTGACAGCCACAGGGCGTGGTGTTTGGTTAGAGCTAGTTCTGCATGAATGATTGTGACTGGGCCATCACCTCATATCATTGAGGTCCAGGAAGAGAGGTCAAAACACTTTGGTTTCCTTCCTAGTTAACTGCTACTGCAGGAGACAAAAAGCAGCAAAGGAGGTTCACTCTTCCTCCTGGTCCTCACTATAATCATTCCTTCCAGCAGAGACCCTTTACACCAGTTGTGACATGGCTAAGCTACAATTCCCAACTACTACTGCTCTGTTATAGGCATCTCATGGCTTCCTGCTCTCCCAAAGCCGAGGAGCAAAGACCCCAAACAGAGTCCTATGCCTTTCCATGCTAGGTTATGGCTTTTTCTTTCTCTGAACAACCACTGCATAGGTGGGTGACCTCAGTACTAGTTTTGCACCTCTAGCTTCTGCTCTGGGAGCCTATGCCAAGCCAGGCCATGTGAGAGATGCTGTACACAGAAGTGGATCATTCCCCGCCAAGTTGCTTCCAGCCCTCTGGCATCACTGGTGGTGTGTGTTCCTTTGCTGGAAGCAAGCTGGGATGAAGGTGCATATAAATTACTTCCATTTGGCTGAGTAGGGTACAGCTTTGGAGTACTGTTGGCAAGGGCCCCCAAGACACATGTCCCCAGAGCAGGGATGTACATGGGATCGCATGAGCAGGGTAAATAACTCACTGTGCTTGTCCAGGGCACAACCTGTTCTAGTGA